GACCAGTTGGGTCGCGTAATTAAACCTCGGGCGCGGACACTAAAATAGGCTTTAAAAGCATTGCTAACCCCCGCCCGACCAACGGCGAACGCGTATATGCCGGGGGAGTGTGCCCTAACCTCGGGCGACGTCATTGAAGTGCATCTTCTAGTAGAACCACTAACCCCAACTAGAATATAGGGCGAACAAGTAAAGAAGGTTAAAGTTTGTGGAATTCACCCTACTTAAAATTTGTAAGAAAGCGATTATTCCCGTAGTTAATTTAAATTAATTCTGTTAATTTTGCTTGATATACTGACTTAAGCGGTTACGGTATGCGGTGACCATCGGAGGATCCCTCTGCAGTTCAATGTCATCATCCAATCCCTACTGGGTCGACTGCCGGCGTTTAGAAAACTGAAATATTGTGGGTAATTAAACCCAGGCCTCGAAGTAAACGCGAAGGGCTTTGTGAAACGAAATCAGGTCGGCGCATGGAAATAGGCAGCATTTTTATCAAAGACTGAGGTTTCTATTAAGTATGGGCTTGGCTTCCTCGAGTGATTATCATATCGGAAAAACGTTAAATTTGTGGCGCTATTTGAAAGATTCAGAGGTACTACATGTGGTATTCGCCAAATGATACAACTAGGTTATTTAATCTTATGCGTTACCCGAACCGATAAAATAGACCTGAATGTTTAGTGGGATCTAGCCGGTATTGGATTTCATGATCGGTCGGCGCATGCTTATTAAATAGTTAAGGTTAATGGGGTTGACCCTTATCACTACGATCTTCAGGCCCTGTTCCTTGGGAGAAGAAAAATCATGGGAGACCAGAGTGGGGAGAACAGTTTATTCTGTACAGAGGGAGTGGAGAAAAGGTAGGATGACATTTGACTCCCGATCAAGAACAGTCCGTTCCCTGGTGGGTCGCGTCCGGAGTGTTAGAGCAGAGGCAGTCCTCTCAGTCAGTCGCCCAACGGCTGTCTTTATCTTAGTCAGGCTTGAAAGTGATTGGTCAAACCGGGAGAGGCCTGCGATGCTCGCGTGATAGCAGGTCGCGCCCTATAAGTGTAGGTCGACGACAGACGTCGTGCGTCCGCACATGTTGGCTGGCAACGCAGGTCAGGCGTTGGCGCGTAGTATGCGGCTGTCCCAAAAGGTAGGTCGAGTCTTGCAGTCACGTGACCTCATGCGGGGGGCGCATAGGAGTTCACTTCATGTTAACCCTGGGTCGACTATTAATTGCAAAACTTTATACAGAGCAATAAAATATGCTTAAGGCAGTCAGGATCTGACCTGAGGAAATACTCACCGACATTTTGCAGCAGGTTTTAGAAAAGAAAAGATTAATTAGGTAAGGGCGTGAATACTGATTCCTTGCAGTAAAACTACCCAATTAATTAGTGCCCCAGAATTCGTTGTGAATCGTCACTGTAATAAAATGAGTTTACAAATAGCCTCAATGCGTTTTCATATAAGTAAACCAGAAAGCAGCTATAATAACATGACGACATGAATGAATGTAAGGGAAGGTAAGCTCAGCCGCACTTACGTCCTAAGATAAATGAAGACTTGGTGTCATTTTATTTGATAAAAAGTAACTTTCACAACAGGATTTCTTATTGCAAGCCCTGTAAACAATTCTTCTATCTGTAGCTTGTCTTCATACTAATCTTCATACTTTTACCTGATTCTC